ACGGCAGATATGGTGTGGAGAGCGCATTGACCTGCACTTACACATATTCCGCAGTAAAGGCTCTAGAGCAACCCCCAAAGATTTCACAACATGGAAACCAAAATGAGCACATACTTTTCCGACAACCTAATATTAAAGAGTGAAAGCTGAATCCCAAATCACAATGGTATTTAGATTCATTTGGTATGTGGCTTTTGCTTTCTGAGGCAGTGTATCAGATGTCATTATTCGTTATCAATTTTCGTCAATGAGTACGTATGATACCGTTACACGCCACCCCACCTACCGAAATGTCAAACTTCACTGGTACCATGTGAGGCTTTACAGACCTACGTAGTAGCTCTAGTCTGTCACAGCTCTTAGTTAGCCTATTTTTTTGTTATCAATCCTTGTCAGTGACCACCTACCGTCTCTTCACATCCCACTTAACCTACTAATGTGATAAGCCTCCACTGAATACGAAGGCGGTAACGGATCTTGTATCTTCTGCCAAGTAAGGCTACTTATCAGCTCCTCTGAAGTGTCATCACTTTCTATCACCTACCATCAGTGTTCCCATTTGCCATCAACAACCATTTTCAATTTGAGAGCTTCAAACCAAGTTGACATTTTTTCCTTACCCTTCACACCCTGTGGGAAGAGTCCAGCTCTGTCACCTACCATCAATGTTTCCAACCGATACCCTGTGTGTATTCCAAGTTTCAAAATGAACTGACATTTTTCGCTCATGCTCCGCTCCGCCTCTTAGGGGCAGTACATGGTCCTGCCACCTGTCACATATGAAGTCCCAATGTGCCGCCTGTATCTTAACCAATTCAAAGGCACAATTGCCCCCTGCCCCTTTGGGATGATACCGGTCTTACCCCCAACAAAAGGTTCTCCTGCTGCCACCTGTACTAAATACTTCCAAAACTGAGCTTACCAGGCCCACAGGAGCAGGAGCTATTATATAAGCTTTCGCTTGAACACACACATCCTTAGCCGATTAGATTGAGTAGGATAGTTTTATATAGGTCAGTTCGAGAGATACAGTGAAAATTGGATAAAATCAATTTCGAAGTTTCGGTCTGTCAAAGCTCCTAAATTCACGTCATTAGAAACAATATTCACTACAGTTTCAAACCCAACGCATTAATCTCTCTCGTCATTATCTTTTATCTCTCTCGTCATTATCTTTCTGCTCAAATTATGTGTTTTAAAACTGTTGCCTTCGCTGCAGTTGAATACTTATGACAAAAAGCAGCACAAAAACACGTGTCTTCTTACGATGCACTTTTTATTCTCTTCGACATCAAAATGGTTATGTGAAGCAAACAGCAGTGGATGCACTTGTGCTGCTGTAGTCGTGTGAGTGGACTTGTTATACATTTGGCGGGCAAAGAGGCGTGTTTGGGTTTTTAACACAAAGTCCATTTTTCGTGTTGCACGTTGAACCAGAGAACGTGGTGCAGTCGCCGCCGACCATGCATGGACCATATCCGGCTTCATAGATCATACCGAAGTAAGTCATGGCTGTGCTAGAAAAATGAAAATGTTTACTGAAATTGACTTGGGGTGGATTACCCCAGTGTTGCTCCGAGAAAAAGGGTATTTCAGTTGTTCAAGAAATCACGAAGCTAAATGAATTTCTAACATCAACCTTGCTTGCTACCGATCAACTTGTTCACTTAACGCCCTCATTTTCATTTGTGATACATGAAATTCGCGCGATCTGCACTTTCAAGAAAGTTGCACCGATTTTAGTTAAAGCATCTTATCTCACATACGTCAAGTCGGCGATAAGAAGGCAAAATAAATCTTTGAAAACTAAAAAATTGATAGTGTAAATGAACGAAGGGATGGGAACTAACGCATTTTAACGACCTTTTGTGTCATGTCACATCCCATTACTGGATTGATAGGATAAGGTAAGGGACGTATTTCAAAGTAGCGAAGCCAAATTTTTCACTACCTTATTTCTCGCCCATAAGTTGTTTCAAATATATGCATACCGATTTGTCCGAAGAGGGGCACCATTGAAAAACGACGTCCCATACTCAGACTCTCATTAGCACAATTTTAGTTCTTCTTTGTAAAGTGCCTGCGGGATCAAGATTACTGGTGCAGCAGTCATCAGAGCAAGAATCTTGAGAAAGGAGAGCAAGGCAAGAAGAAAAGAGAAAGAAAGACATCTGCCGAGAACTGGTTATAATACTCTGAAATAAGGTGTTGAAACTAACCAAACATCGAATGCACAATACACTTGCTTTTGGCCATAGCACGTATCGGTGCACCCTATGCTGACAGCGTATCCCGAAACCAACTGTAAAGCATACATGTTGTTCATAAAAAAAGAGAGCTCAGTGGCTGAACTTACTTGAGAAAATACAGTATAGTCAAAATTGGGGTCGTAGACGGCAGTACTATTGATGAAAGCACCAAAGTCGTGATTGTCCCACCACAATTGGAATGCAGCTGCTATTGGGATAGGTGACGGCTTCCTTAATTGTGAGAAATTTTCCTCTTACTTTTCTGTGTTAATCGCTCTGATCTTCGGTACATGGAAGGCATAATTTCCATAGTTCAACCTAATCCAATCGTGGAACACATTTTTTCTCAACGACTACCATTCAACAAAGCTACAAAAAGTGGAGTACCCAGCAGGATTGAGTTGTGCTTGTTGATTGCAGACCATCATTGCGTACTCCTCAGCCGTGCAGGGATAGTTCTAAAAGTGTCTTACTCAACACAACACTGAATTTTTAGCAGGTACTAAGTTTAAGCTACAGCCATTGACGCCCTGCATAGTCGAGCGTAGCGGTTTGGAACCTTTGGTTATTGTCATGTTTTTACGACAGCTTTACCTCTACTTATAGCTCCTAGTTCATTTCTTGAGGTAGTGTAAATTACTGCACTCACGTCGTTGTACACCCACTTACCAGCTGGTACATGTTCTGGCTGGGTGGATACCCAAATACTCCGGTTGTTGCGATTGTACGATAAGCGTTGGCCAAATACACAGAAAGTTTTCGTTTTTCGGGCGTCATGGTAGTGCCACTGATCTTGCAATTGAATTCTGCAATGTTTTTCACATGGAGTAGCTCACTCACAACTCACAAGAAAGCTGCTCAGATACTGCACCTACGGAAGAAGTCTAAGAGAGCTTCATATACGACAAGTCGAGAACATTCGACATTAAAAACATAAATTATGTGAGGGGTTATCGAAGCGCTTGGTAAAAAAGCGAGACGCCACCGTTACGCTGTTGTGTGAAGCGACATAAATAAATAATAATGATGGCACTAATGCAAATATTAGAGATGGAGGTAAAACTAACTCTACTAGTTATCGTTGGTCATCTAATGCATAGCCTTCTAGAAACTTTATATTGGTGGAGCCGAAGAACAACAGTTCGTGTGAGTTCAATGGAAAGACTGTTGCTTTCGTTGAAGCCGATAATAATACGATGATTTTGAATGTGCTCTGAGAATCATGGAGCTATTGTAATCACTCGAATGTATCAGAATGTTTTTGTTTATTCGTCGTGCTTTGCCACGTCAATTTGGGGCAGGGATCAATAGAGGATCGTGGTATTAATCAAGTTGCGTGTCCTTGCAATAATACCCACTTTTAATTCTGAGAGAAAAACTAGGGAGTCGTTGTGACTCCGCAAAATTATGGCAATTTCCCGAGCTGTCAAAGTATTTTGAAACGTCAACTTCGCAGCATATTACTGGAGATAATGATGACGCCAATAACATGCTCGATTACGTGTCCCCACTCATTACAAACCGAAGCGTATTTAAGAGACACAGCACGGTGGTGATCATGAGAAGGTATCAAGATGTTCCTGTGCAATACGTTCTTTGCATTGACGGTCAGTTCGCTTTCCTTAACTTTATCCAAGCAAATTGTTTAGTACAAATAAACAGGTTTTGGTATCTTCGGTTGCTCCAGTCCTATCAACAACCAAAGCTGTTCAAGATGGTGAGTGGCTTTATAGGCAAAATATATTTTCTAAAAACTTCATCCTTTTGCCATCATGCCCCATTAAAGTAAAAGCAAGCACATTGGTAGAACTTGCATGAAAAGAGCTTCTGAGTTTCGAAGGGGCATGGAAATGTTGGTGAAAAGTGAAAGAATGAAACAATAACTGCGTATCATATAATCATTATGAGAAAACATTTATATAAGTTCTAAGTTTGCCCCTTATAGGCAGCGCTTATAGCCAACCAGCATTTAAATGAAGTAGTACCTTACTACAATATTTGCATTAGTATCATCATTATTATTTATTTATGTCGCTTCAGAATCGACACAACAGCGTAACGGTGGCGTCTCGCTTTTTTACCAAGCGCTTCGATAACCCCTCACATAATTTATGTTTTTAATGTCGAATGTTCTCGACTTGTCGTATATGAAGCTCTCTTAGACTTCTTCCGTAGGTGCAGTAACTGAGCAGCTTTCTTGTGAGTTGTGAGTGAGCTACTCCATGTGAAAA